TTTGGAATGAATTATCTTGCCAAACGGTTTCACCCATAGGGGGCGCTGTTGAGTCCACTTGATCAAAAAATCTGCAATGATTGAACTGGTATAATCGATAAAACCCGTTCAGTAATTTATTAATTTCACCACCAGACAGGGTTAGTGATGACAAAGCTTATATCTGTAAATAAAACCGTTTACACACTTTTATTTACCTTGGATTTATTCAATTTATAGCACTTAAGAATTCCTCTCATAGTAATGGAAGCAAAATTATCTTCCTTTTTACTTATAAAATTATTATTATTAATAACATTTAAAGCAACCAGAGTTGACTTTTAGTACAATAGGCCGGTTGATATTTTAATATTGTATCCATTTATTAACATATTTGATTGATTACAGTAAAAACATTTATTGCAAATAAAATGAAACATAAAAGCTTATCCTGAACTATATCAAATATCAAACTATATCATATTTTTAACATGTTTACTCCAGTAATTTTCCAGACATACTGATGTGCAATCTTGAAATGTGGGTTTGCACTCAGTGCAAACAAAGCACTGGTTGAATCTGCCCAAAAACTGTGGAAGCTTGTTGGGCTGTGGATATACATATTTTATACATTAATTATGTTTTTTTTTTTTTTTTTTCAGAAAAATAAATAAAATACATACATTTTTTTAAAGTACGTTTGAATTTTGATTGTTCTAAAAAAGCATCTCCAGGATTAACTCAACAAATCTGAGCGTAAATACTTACCAATACATCAAAATTGTCTGGTGTTGGCCTATTTTCAGTCATTTCAACTCTATCCGTAGGTAAACAAACACAAGATGGTAGCTGTCGACAAAGATTTTTTCTTTTTTTTTAGGGACAAATTAACCACCAATATGAGGGGGGAAAAAGTGCAAAAGTTGTTTCATGTTATAGGATTTTTTTTAATGCATTCATTAAAAAAATTGCACAATGCGGGGGTTCCCAACACTGGTCCTTGAGGAACACCATCCTGCATGTTTTAGTTGTTTCCCTTCTCCAACACACGTGATTCAGTGATTTAATTACATCTGTGTGTTCTGCAGAAGCCTGTTAATCACCCATTTATTAATATCATGTGGGTCGGAGCAGGGAAACAACTAAAACATGCAGGATGGTGTTCCTCAAGGACCAAGGTTGGGAACCCCTGCATTAGTGCATATGCAAGAATTTTATTCAGTTTAAAATCTTCCTGGGTTGACAATATGATTAAGCATGCAGGGTTAATCTGCCAGATGACATGTTTATTTGGATACATCTACAGACAAAACTCTTTGCTTTTACATTAAATAGCTGTAAACCACTGCAGCCAGCTGCATGGAAATGCAGATATATAGTTAACACAGCTTTGCAACTTTTTTTCCCTTTTTTAAACAGTTAAGCATAGCATTCATACTAGATGTAAAATGTCTGTTCGTTACATAAGATAAGCTAGAACTTGTAAATGTAACTGGTTTGTAGTCAAAACTAGAGCTAAAGAAGCATCAACTCTGAATTATAATGTCTATGCATCAGCTATAAAAAAAATTAATTACAAATTTAAATACATGACATTTACAGGTACTCCATACGAGGGCTATTTGACAAAATAGCTCAGAGGAGAACAATTCCTGAAAGCCGACAGCTCATCGGTCAGATATCTGGCAATTATTATCTTTTCATAAATTAAACTTTTGATTTAAAATCTAGTTTTATTCTACGTGAACTTGTCGGCTGGTGGACTGAGTTCTGCAGCTCTGTCAAAGGTCATCCACAAACGTAACAGGATCATTTCCCTGAAGGAAATATTTCAGTATTTTTTAAACGTTTCTCTCATAGATTTTAAAATTTACATCCTATTTTCACAATACTCTTCAGTAAAACCAGAACATTTTGCTGAGTTTTGTCTGATGGTGTACACGACAAACGGAGATTGTTTTCTCTGACACAAAAATCTTTGACTCCAAGTCTCAGAGTGGAAGTTTTCGGAAACGTCCAGCATTGATGTGAAATGGCGCAGGCATATCATAGACAACTGCAGTCAATAGATTTCCTTCCTCGAGTAAATGTGCTGCTAGACTATCTATGGCTCAGTTGAGATGCATTTATCACATTTCACAAATACTGAACGGACCCGTAACTGTTTTTATACTCAAAACTTAAGTGTCTGTATACATTCCAGTCATTGAAACACAAAAATCCCAGCACCATCTTGATCGGACATGAAAATCACAGATGATTTCACATATTTTGGAGTCTCATCTAAACAGTAATTGTGATCATAGCGTTGTTGTGTGAACTTGTAAAGTTTTCACAATCAAAATGATAAAATCTATCATCTCTTCAACAAAATACCTTAAATCCCAACATAGACATTTTCTGTCTGCCTCAGTCTGATTTCTGAATGGGCTCAGGAGGCAAAGAGGGTTGAAGCCAGCCCACCTCGATGCGTCTTTGAGTGGCAAAGCAAGGTAGTAACAGAGGCAAAATGATCAATATGTGAAAAAGTATGCCAGCTTTGCGTCATAATGTAATGAAGTGATGGCATCTGGTCTATAAACAGACGTATCACTGAAGGAGGATCAATGACGCACAGCAACTTTGTGTTACGTTTAAAAATAATAGTTAACCACAAAGAGCATCATTAAACTGAGTTAAGTCCAAATGTTTTAGAAACAATTCAAGGGAGAAGTCCGTCACACATTGAATGAATTGCGCTCCACAATAATGCAGCTCAGTTCTGCTCTATGTCTTTTTTGTGTTGGCGATGTTCGTTTCATTTCTGGAAATGTATACATGTGCAGGACATGGTCGACTACATGGGTGATTGTTAGACAAGAGGCAGCATAGACACACAATGTTAGTCTGCACAGGACTGCCATGTCGTAGAACTGTTTTATGAAACGGGGTTAGGTCTGGTCGGTTACTGACTCAGCAACATTCAAGATCAAAAACCTCACACTGAAACAGGGAAACAGGACTCACAAGTCCAAAGTCTACATTAACTCAGCTCTTGGACATCTTCTGGCAGACTAACGCTGACTCCACAAGTTTGTGAACTCCCCCCCCCCCCCCCCCAATAAAAAGCAGAATCTCCAGAAATGCTGCAGATTCATGTGAAAGGTACAATACATAGACATTAATATCTATCTGTCTGTCCGCCCGTCTGTCTATCTATATCAGTGTTTCCCCTATACAAGCAGGGCACACGGCCCTGTCAACAAAAACGAGTGCCTTGCCTACCAACCCCCGCCCCCGACAACTGTCGGTATACGCGGGGGGCAATACAAACGCACTACCAAAAATTTTACTGTGCTACTGACGTACCGCTCCACATCAGTCGGTATAAACTGGCAACAATGCGGGCTAGCAACACAGAGGTAACTCCTTCTCGTGTCCCCCCCCCACCCCCTACCCATCAACAAAAATAAAATACAACGAGCGCCCCACCAAGGGAACTGATCTAGGACAAACACTGTACAGTAGTCCCTCGTTTATCGCGGGGGATCCGTAACCTGAAGCCCAGCGATAAGTGAAAAACCACGAAGTAGGAATAGTAAGTAATACAAGTAATAAGTAATAGTTTATTTTAGTATATATATATATATATATATATATATATATATATATATATATATATAT